TCCCATGGATCAATAGCGATACCTTTGAAAACACCACGATATAGATAAATAAAAGACAAAAGATTAAAACATTATGTGTAAAAAAAATCTTAGAAGGTCAAGATTAGTTACTTAAAATGGATATTTAAAATGTATATTTAACTTAATACAGTAAATTGAGTTTTTGAATTGCTTTTCACCAAACCACTTCACTAAATCTTGATACTTACTTCTATTGTTAATAAGATATCTAAGTAAAAATTGTTTTATTTTAGATGTTTCAGACATTATCACGACTCGAAACCTCTTTCCTACTTTCGTCAACAGATGACGACACACAATTGATCATCATCAGTAGAAATCGAATAATCCAATTTAAAAATTTTCGCACATTAAAAAAGACATTGTTATCTAGGTACTTAAAATCTAGGTTCTTAAGGGCATTTAGAACTTTAAAATTTGATTAAATAGGGGTAATTCCAAGGAGGTAGAGTAGAGTTCTATTCAAGACTGATGCTAGGATGGACATTTTGACATTTTCGCTATTTAGCGAAAGAAGTAGCGAATTTTGTGAATTTGGACTACCATGATTTGTTTTCTAAGAAATGCAAATTTCTTTATCTTGATCAATTTTTTTTTTTTTTTTTTTTTTTTTTTTTTTGTTTTGTTTTGTTTGGGCATAAATGCTATCCAAGTTCCGTATTCCGAATAGAATTTTGCGTTTGTTAGCTCTTCTGTAAGACCTAACAAATGCAAGAGAAGCTTTGTTTTAAAAATATATATATCCTACATTCTTTTTTCACAAAAATAAAATCATTGTTTTTATATTTTTATAAAGCATTTATGCACGGAGAAAATACCTTGTATATTCATTCCTCCTTTTAAAATGCGACTGGAAATTAGGGGACCCAATCGCCAAATACTGGTGCTGATGGGTTATCGTCCACCACCTTTTAGTTCAAGCGCTGCCACTTGTAGAGCCATTAGGTTTTTTTCAAGCAGGAGACGTGAAAAATGTGACTGTCCTCACCGGGACTCGAACTCTGGACCTCTCAAATACATGTCCAGTATGCTTCCAATTATATCACGAAGTGCGGAAAGGAGGGAGAAAATACCTTATAAGTGTATTATTACACTATTTTGTGAGATAATTTACTTTTCTTATGGAATGTATATAGCAAATCAAACTTCTAGCTCCTTGCAGTTCGTTACAGTGGTGTTCGAATGTATTCATATACAATCGGGAGAATGCATATGACAGTTACTTCTTTCCTACTACCACAGGGATTCCGGACATAATGGCGCAGAAGCATTGCTCTGAAAGCAAGAAATATTTTAATATGTTCCCTTGGTGACTTGTATATGCAAGTGTCTACGAAATTTTAGGAGTAATTTTTACTTCTTGTACAAAGCAAAGGAAGTACAGTAATCGCGAAAAATTTCGGCTATCATATTTCAGCGAAAATATCAGTTTTGACCACTCTCGAATCCATTTACAGGATTTTTTTTGCGCGACAGTACGTACAGAACAAAGGACTCTTTTTTTTTTTTTTTTTTTTTTTTTTTTTTTTTTTTTTTTTTCAAAACGGATTGTAAAATAGATGTTAAATGGATTCAGAATAGATTTTTACAAGACATCTGTACGGACGTACGGATGTTGTATGTATGTATTCCACATAAGTAAAAATCGAACAGTCACAGAACATTTTAATTTTGTATATATATATTATGTATTTGCTATAACATGTATTTGTGCACCTCCTTTTTAGTTGCAATGACCATAACAAAAGTATATACCCACATTGTTACCAGGCTCGATGAGACCTGTAATTTTATTTTTATATGCTGGCAAATTGTGCAAATTTGTTTTTCGTTAAAAGTGACTGAATTATGTTGTTCTTATATTCCACTTATTTTTTTTTTCCTTTAATTTAATCTGTATGCAACAGTTATAGAATTGTCATTAATTTAGAAGTTGCGCTAGGCCTAACGAGGTCGCCATTTGTTTGCATTTGAAACCAAGGAGGTTAGAATAGAAGGAGGGAGGGTTCGCAATTTCCTCCACTATCGGGGAATGAAACAAGCGGCGTCCATGTTTGTGACTTCAAAACATTGCATTACGGCAGTGACATGTACGTGTTTCTAAGCTGTTCCGTGCATTTATTTTCCAGTAAAATTTTGTTAAATTTATAATGAAATCCCCCGCTATTGTTGAATTTTTGTTTTAAAGTAATAAAGATGATATCCATAATTTACTATGTACAGCAAAATTGTTAAGAAATAGTTCGAAATCTAAATGCATGCGCCATAACATTAAAGCCTTTAAAAATGATATTTCTGCATATTTCACGGATTCGCTTAGGTTAGAAAATAAATCTTAATAAAAAAACAGAATTCATTGATTTCAGTTTATGCGCATTTCATATTTATTAATCTCAAAGAAACTACCTTTAATTAAGTTGAATTACAGAAATACACCTATATAAGTTTTTGGATACATCTTTCCACATGTTCAATGTGTAAATATTTTTACTTAATTTTATTACTATACTGCTCAGAAATTTGTAAGTTTATACAAAAAAATTTTAACAGAACAGTTTATCTTAACTTTAAAAAATGAATAATAATTAATATATAAAGAAAAGCATTGCTTGCTTTATTAACACCTTTACAATAATAAAAATAGTAACAATTGATTTCTTACTTTTCATGAAAGTTATAAAAAGAATTAACTTAAACGTTCAAATTATACAATTTAAATCCTACCATATAGCATTGTATCTTAAGGAACGAAGATACCAGCTATAACAGAAACATTAAAATGTATTTAATATATTTTGATTATAGTTATATTAAATAAAACCTATTTTAAGTCCTTTTTTTTCACATCTGGAAAGAAAACACATGACATTGTGATATTTTTTGACATAGTTGTCATATTACATAAAAAAAAGAAAATTAATACTTACGTGTGAAAAATAATGCCCGGAATTTTTTTCGAGAATCTATTTATGCATCCATATGCAATACAAGCTGACATGCTTCAAAAAGAAAAGAAAAAAATGTTGCAATGACAGACTTCCTTGCACAAGTCACGGTGATAACAGGAAGATGGCCGCCAAGCTTCACCGTTTGAGTTGAACCTTCCCTCCTTCTATTCTAACCTCCTTGTTTGAAACGCTTAGTAGAATAGTGTCTGTTGCTGCACCAACTTCAGTGTCTTTTTGCACAGTAGGATAAAGGTTAACATTTAATTCTGTGCACCGAAAATTTTATCCTCCCGGTCGTTGGCCAAATTGCTTTGTTTGGCTAAGAAACCCTAATTTTAATAGTAAAGATAGTTTTTTTTAACTGTTTTTAACTGTGTTCGGTGTTTTAGGTTTTTAAGTCTCTATTTTACAATTTTTTATGAAGTTATTTTCAATTTTTATGTATTTTTGCCTTGCCGTGAAGTCAGAACTGATTGTTTGAATGAGAAATATATATATCTAGTAGAATTCATGGAAATATACAAATGAAGTGCGGCAAAAGATGTGTATAACTTAATAGGCCGTAGAAGAAAATCATGTGGTGTCCATCCATATCAGTTTTTTTTTAATAAATTTTAACAAACCTACCAAAGGATAATTTATAGTATTTATTACAATGGCATTTTAACTTGCTTTCCTTAAAATATGTTTAAATCTGCTTATAGACACAAGTTTGTTTGCAGTTAGTCGTTTGCTTTGATTCAGCGAATATTTGTCGCAAATTTGAATGCTGAACAGTTAATAGCAGAAAAGTTTTGCTTTAAAGCGGGAAAAAACAGCCAGGTGTTTTAAGTAAATGATGAGGTGAGATGAAACTTAAATGCTTTTCTTACAGACCTAAGACAAAACGGCAGTTATCTAATAGAGTTGCTGAAGATTCACCGCAGCTGCGGGATCTTCAATTTCAAAAATTTCTGAGATTAAAACTGAGCTGGAAGACCATTTTGATTGGAAAGAGAATAATTAATAAGCAATTTTTTCCTGAAAGAGAAATGATGAATTCCATGTTTTATAAGACGTAATGAACAGAATCCTGAAGAGAATTCAGTGCTCTTAGGCTTGAAAAAAATTGAATCTACTGATGTGTCGTCATACAATCTAGCTCTTGTGAAGCAGTATCTAACAAATAAAAATAACGCATTTTTAGTTATTCTCCGTCTCTCTCCTGCAAAACATTTTCTGTTACCTAAAATGAAATCATACCTGAAATTCCATTATTTTAATAGCATGGAAGATAATCAGAAAACCAAAACTGGATATTTAAACAGTATTCCGAAAATGAGGCTATGTAAACGGTTCAAATTGCACAGGTGCACTTTTGCGATGGCTTTAAGATGCTTGACTGCCAAAAAATAGACCCATGTTGGATTCCCAAGATTATTTACTATCTTCAAGGACATTGTGGCCTCGTAGTCCCGCATTTCCCATTTGTGTTAACAAGATCACAAGCACCATCGAGCATGCGAGAACTAAAGCCCGCGAAAGCCACAGAATTCAGCAGTTGTATTAGCCTACCAAGCAAGGTATAGGTTTACAAGAATTGTATATTGAAGGCTAAGAAGTAAAAATATTAATTTTTAATCTTTTCGATTTTTACGAACTTAGTCCTAAAACTTCGTAGACGCATTGTGTATATTTATAACCACAAGCCTGTCCTGTCTGTTAGTCCTGTCTTCGGATGGTGTTAACGACATCGGAGTGGATAATTTAACAGTGTAAAGTGTGATAAAATCTTGAAACTGGGATGTTATTATTGACAAAAGCAAGTTTTTTGAATTACTAAGTTGCTCTAGAATATTAAGGATAATTCTGAGAACCTTATTTTATGAAATTAACAGTTGATTTCTGTGATTTACTTTAAAATATAAGATTCAGAGATTGTCAAATGAGTATTTTTTCATCATAATCCAGGTACTGAAACTTTTGTAAATTATCATTCTTTCTCCGCCTGCATTGCTGAATAAATTAATTGCTATATAATGCACAAACAGGAGAGTTTTAATTAAAAATTTATTAAAAATATAAATTGATCGAGATATTTTTATGTGCAATTAGCTTGAAAATTTTTACAAAATTGAATCAAGTCTTATTTTTCCTATGTAAAGAAAGGCAAGTTCCTTCTTCTATAGAGTTCATCCGGATCCTCTTCCGTCCCTTGTTATCGAACGCAACAAACACTTCGTTATGAAACGTGACGTATCTATATTTTGACAATTGTTCTTCCAAGATGACCTGCAAGAAGAGATACAAGCATAAGTCGCACAAATTATTTCACGGATTAATTCAAGTTCAATAATATGATCAGAAGGAACAAGTACTGAGTTAGCTGAATTCAGTAGCGCAGCTAGAGAAGAGCAGTCCACCAGGCGCTGCATTTTCCATGTGAAACGTATAGAAGTTAGTTATATGGATCTTCGAAGCAGAAAGATGGACTAGGATTCATTGAATTATCTCAAATTTCATTATGGTTACCGATCTAAGGAGGGGGATGTGTTCATGGGAGACTTAAGTTATTCACGAAAGCTTTTGAAACTGAGAACTAGCTTATATTTATGCTAAGAAGAGGTAACTAGCATTCATATGGATACAACGTTACATAACCTACAAATGCCCGATTTAAATTTTTTTAAATTTCCGAAAACCTTGCTCACCTTCGGACAAGTCTGGATAACTGGCATCGTTTTTCATTTCACCGTAAATATCATCGCCATCCATTTCACAGATAATATCATATTTAGTCCCGTTCGCAGCATTACCTACCCAGCATCTGTTAAGTGATCGAACGATCATTTTTGGTTATTTTTCGAGTGGATGAGTATTGGTTCTTCAGTTCGTGCGGTAAGTCTAGCTAAATTAACAGACCAATTATTCGAACTTTAGATAGCAGATTTGGCTTTTTTATCTACAGTTGAAAATGAAAAAGGTGATAGAGTTTCCATCCCTGAAAGCGCTTTTGCTGAAATAAAATCTACATCAATTACTTTTTTTTCCTTTGCACTGAGATGTGCACCATATCCATTTTAAGTCCTTAACCAACCTTTATTTTCGTAACCGCTGGTCTAAGACGTATATTTCAAGTTACAAAAATGTTTTAAAATACGCAGATATTCATGTTTTGGCAATTTCAGATTTTAAAAATATTAATTTTGGACAAATTACGAAATCTAACTTTTTTTGTTGCCCTTGATACTTGATTCTAACGTTATTTACACTTACCTTGATGTGTCGGTCAGTAAATAAATTAGAATATTTTGAGTTTCATGTTTCCCCTTAAATTACATTCCGTGACAATATTTTGTGTCTAATATTCCTTATGATTCTGTTACGACTTGCATGTATATTGAAAGAATTTCCACACTAGTAATTTAGAACTTTTGAGACTCTAGAAATACGTTACTAACATTCTCATGCAGTTTTGTCATTTTAAAATTCAAACCTAAGAATCGTATGAAAAATTAATTAAATTAGAAATATTTAGATTTTTTATTTTTGCAAATATTGTTATGAATTGACATTAAGGTAATGCTGAAGCCTGCCAATGTTTCTAAAGAATTCGGTAAGATTTTTGTGAATAAAATGTGTTTTCTGAAACAAATTAAATTTATCAATTCTTTTAATGAAAACATGCATGGAAATGCTGGTCTTTTAATTTATGAGCGACATAAATCTTCCTCTAAATTGGTATTTTATTGTTAGTTAAATACAAATTCGAATACCTCTCTCTTCACTTTGTTTAGGGTAAACTGTGGCTGCAAATGTCAGTTGAAATAAGGATGAATATTTTATCCGCCTCGACTGCGAAGTTTGCTGTTTATTACGAATCCAACATTTTGTGTTCTACACTATCAAACACTGCTACGTCTTTTTCATTACATATATACTATATGGAGGTTCGTATGTGCTGAATATCGCTTTTGTGAAAACGTATGCTCAACTATGTAAATAACTGTTTTCTGTAAAACTATGATAGAAGGTTGGATCTGCATTTACGAAACTGTGTTTAAGTAGCTATGAAGTCAGTTGAAACATTTGCTGGCATTTCTCTTATTAGTTTCTCTGCAAACTAAAAATTCTCATTATATTACACTTTCTCGGAGGGTGTTCACACATTTTTAGAAAGATTTCGGGGTCGTATAATTAATGTTTAAAATGTAAAGGGTATTTTTTAAATGATTTGATAGCCTTTTTTTCGGGACTAGTCTGCACCGTGATTTCCATGACAGAAGAGGTTTTTGTAAAATTCCCAATGGGTTGTATTTCCATGCCTCTTCCACTGCTTTCCAGATTCCATCAATCGAGATGGGTTTGCGCTTAGAAAGAACTCTTTTCAAGAGACCAGAGTCACAGTAATCCATTGGTGAACGTCAGCAAACTTCACAAGAATACGCTGGAAAGGTATATATGCAATACCTGTATCAGACATCATATTTTCAAGGAATGTTGTGGTACTTTTCAAAGTATGACTTGTGTCTTGATGAATTTTCACTCCTTGAAAGTCACTGGGACAAAAATATGTAATTTCTTCTGTAAATAATGGAAGTAAAGTTTTCTCTTCATAACACGCTGATTTAATTTTAACAGTTTTTCAACTCTTCTTATTTTTTTTTAATTTTTGCAAGAGAATCCTGCGATAGTCATACCCCTTACTGAACCTTTCTTTGTACTGACGGAAACAAGTTTATACATTTTCCGCTCTTCGTTTTGCGTAATAAATAGACCTTTTTTTATTGCAGTTATATAGGTAAGCCTATGCTTCATCAAGGGTCCCAATGAATTTTCATTTATCTCCTTCTAACTAGTTTTTATACAGGGTTCTACAAATTGTTATGTGTTGAGTCATATGCCTCGGTAAGAGCTAATGAACTCTGTGTTTTTAGCTTTTTTAAGTTGTAAATATTGGTTTATTATTTTATTTGTTGTTGACAGAGATGTATTTAAAGAATATCCAATCATTTTTACGTCGGTGGATTTTCTCTTATTACCAGTGATTTAATTTCAGAAACATTAGAAAGAGGTCGTACATTTTTCGATTATTCATTTGAAGTCTTCTTTCCATGCAGAAGTATTGATTGACGGTTTTTCCTTTTCCAATTAATATTACTGCTTATTTTGCTTCAATCCATAGCTTGTTTACAAGCGATATTTTGAAAGAAAATAAATGTTAAAATAGCAGACGATAATACTCAATTCAAATAAGCTGTCGCCGGAAGTTTTTATTCCAAAGCTTTTGCCTTTTCTAAATTCTTCATTGAAATCGTTCTAAAAATGTGTGAACATTTTCTGAAATCTTGTTTTAAAAAATGTGAACTCACCAATGGCCGAAACCTTCTTTATCAAATATCTTCAAAGCACATTTTGCGCTCGGTATTGGATCATCTTTCACCAAATCTGTTGACAAATGAAAAATTACACGTTTGTCATGAGTAAATTAATTATAAATTAACAAAAATCTAAACATGTTTCAGTTTTTCTACTTTTTCTTAACTGTTATGTCGCTACAATAAAATTACAGATGTACAAGGTAAGCAGAATAAGCCAAACTGTAAGCAATCAATTAGTTTATTACTTAGTAATGTGAGTTAAACAATTATATTGAGATACAAAATTTGATACAGCGAAAAGGACATTTTTTGCGAATTCTTAAAATTTATTTTTAAAAAAATAATGGCATAAATTCTAAATGGTCAGATTTTTTCATAATGTTCCTTTACATGGAAACTAAAACATTTTACAAGATTCTAATTAAATTGGTTACTTTTGGTAACTAGAATACTTGAGAAGTACGTAGAGGCTATTCGCTGACTTACTAAACGACTAGAGTGGCATATCCATAGAAGGGTTCAAATACCCTTTTATTTAACTTGAGAATATTTACAGTTGGCCCCTCTCGAACTTACAGGAAGCCTCCACCTGTGCTTTAACTTTACACAGAAAATAAGAAACTAAACTAATGTTAGCTAACTAAAAACTACCTGAAAATGTACAGAATAACTAATGAGCTGGCCCCTCTTGAACTTCAAAGGTGAATACAGGCACGTAACAGTACGGCTGAACGTAGTAAAGTTTGGCTTAAAGTAACAACATGTCCAGAAGGCAAAATACGCTGTTCTAAGCTCTTCTTACGGAAATGACCGAGACTTCCCATTATATACTGGTTCTACCTCATTTATATGAAACGGAATCTTGAAAACTCATTCTGGCAGGGAATTATAGGTGGGAAACAAGAAAATATAGGAAAAGAATTTTAAAAATTTAAAACAGTTTTCAAAATTAAAAAAAATCTGATGTGGACACCACATTACTTCTTCGTAGGAATATTAAATTATATGCATTTTTGTTCCATTTGATTTAAATTTATTTCCTCGAATTTCCCTAGAGATAGATGTCTCATTCAATTAATTCAGTTCTTACTTCGCGGTAAGGCAAAAATGCATAAAACCTCAAAATATCTTCGTTAAAAAATGAAAAATATAGAAAACAATAAAGCACCAAATACAGATAAAACAATTAAGAAAATTTTTTTACACTTCAAATTAGAGTTTTTACGCAAAAACAAACAATTCGACCAGCGGGCAACAAGGCAGACTTTCCGGGGCACAAAACTTATATAAGGATCTTAAGTTTTACTAGCGTTTATTTTATTTTAAAACTTTACTCTCTTCTCTTATTTTCCACTTCCGGCCAGAACAAACGCGATAGTCTGTTTATGCAAATTATGCTGGCAAACTCTTAAGTATTTAAGTTGTGGCTTTTCGCCAAGTAGAGAGAGATAGTGAGCCTTCTCGCCATCTTATTTCTCGCGCGCTTTCAGCTGGTTGCTGTTCGCTTTTAACCCTTTCCGGCACGCTACCTTTTAAAGTCGGAGTTTTGATTTAAAAAAAAAGGTAGGCAGTCTAATTTGTCCTAGAGGAGTACACAAGTAAAATTTTGTGAAGATAGCGCTTATCGTTTAATTCTGTCGGTGTGCCCAAAGTGGGCACAGTGATTGAATAGAGCTTCGAAAAGAGTGCTGAAACGAGCATTGTTGTCAATGAACTGGCCGATGAGATGCGGAGAAACAAAGAATACAGACTCTCAGTTGTCCTAGATTATGGGTGAGCCCGGTTTGGGCACACCTGGGGTTCGCCGTTTGATTTTAAGGAATATTTCAAGGTAAAAATTTAAAACTAATATAGAATAAGAAGATTAGCATACAGCCAATAAACATAACATAGAAATTTATTTTCAAACAATTCCTTTTATACCCTTAAAAAAATGAGAATTTCTTTCAAAAAGAAGGGTCTTAAAACACTAAACATGGCTAAAATATATGGACTGGTTTGTGTTGAGCTGCCATCTACTATAAATAAAGAAGGTTCAGAGTAACCTATAGTAACCTCTAAATCCTTTTTCATTCAATTTTTCCGTGCGTACAGAAGGAAATTCTTTAATGTCCAGACCGGACACTCTGTGCCGCAAAGGATTAAAGCCAGAGGTTTAAGCCTCTTAATATTGAAGACATATTGTAGTTTTCCCACAGTTTGCGTACTGCATACGTAAAACTCTAAAAGGCCAATCTTAGTGCTACTAGTCTGTGTAAAGTATTCGTGTTTAGCTATTATTTAATTTTAGTAATCTTGTAGTTCTTATTTTCTTTTTCTTTTTATCCCGAAGTGCGGGAGCGCCAATGAATAGTGAAGAATAAAGGGTAGTTAAACCCCTTCCTTTTCTTGTCATCTCTTCTACAGTTTAACAGGACATAGTTTAGGTAAACACACTGTTCTACTCAGGACACTTACATGTTTCCAAAACAGATAAGAAGAAATAGTAGTTCTGATAAACTGAAAGTTTACTTTTGGTCCCACTCGGCAACTGACTCATAGAGAAACTGACTGAATTCACTATTCTGCTGAGTTTCAAATGTAAACAAATATGGCTGCTATATTAAACAAAAATTAGGCTTAGCCACGCTTAAACAACTTTTAAATTGTTGATTATTCTACACCTCTTTCATGCAGATTAACTAAAGGCATAAAAACCTTAACCGGAAGATAAGAATGACGTAATTCAATCATTTTTAAAGCCGAGTAATAGATCGCGTTTGCAGCAGCGTCTTAGCAGGATGAAAGCCTAAGCGAAAAGGGAAGTGTCGCAGCACTTCAGAGGAAGGAGGAAGGGAGTCGAAAAGTTTCAGTTCCGAGTTAGAAAACGTTTTGGTTTACAGTTATTTGATTGGGCATGAGGCATCTGCATTAAGCATTATGTAGGATCGCATGATTAATTTGAATGATGCAATTTAGACTTAAAAAGCAATTTTTAAGACACAAAGAGGAAGTCCCCAAATTAAATAAAAAATAAAAGAGGTTATAACCAATTAAATTTAGAAGTTTGCTTTCATATTTTTTATGTTACACACACAGACACACACTTATATATTTGTATACTTTTTGTGCGGACAACTGCAACCAAACCAGAGGTGCACAACTACATGTTATCGCAGACCTATATACAAAATTACAACATTCTGAGGCTACTCATTGTTGAGTTATGGGAGATACATTCATACATACGTACGTACGTACAGACGTCAGGGGAAAAAATCTCTTCTGAATGCATTTTAAACCAGTTTTATAATCCGTTTGGCAAAAAAGCATCCTTTATTCTGTCCGTACGTACAGACGTCACGCAAAAATATCGTTAAATTGCATTCGATAGCGGTCAAAATGGATATTTCCTTTGAAATATGATACATGAAATTTTTCCTTATTACAATACTTCCTCTACTTCGTACAAGGAAGTAATAACTGTGAGAAAATTAAAATAACCCCTACAATTTCGCTGAATGGATGACCTGTTAAATGGTGAAAGAAAGTAATCTTTGAATTGACATGTAATGTCTGATTAATTCCTGTAGATATAAAAATGTCTAAACTAATTAAATTATTAGAAATACTGACTCGTTAAAGCACACAAAGAAAAGATTTATTTGATTATGTAAAGGCAATTACTGTACCTTTCAAGAAAATCGAAATATAAAACGAATTAAGATATTTGAATTGTACTGTGACCATTTTAAATTATTGTATTTTTTAAGAATAAAAATAAACATCTCATTCACTAAAGCCATCATTTCCAGAGAAAACCAAAATTCTCTCAAATATGGGTTTGTCATGTTAAGAGAAGACTTTCCCTATGTTCCAAGAAACACAAACCTTATTCTATGAAACTTTAAAAAACCGTCTGAAAAGTCACCTGTGATAGGTAATAAAAACCGTTATAATTGGTGACCAATGATTTGAATTAGTTTGTTACCATTTGTATTTTTCGAAGTTTACAGTGCCGAATTATGTAGTCACAAACCAAAAATGAATTTAAATTCATTTGAAAACAATCATTATCACAAACACTTCTAGTGAAATATATTAAAAATCAAACCTCATGTATCAAGTACATTCTACCCCCCACCTAAAAAAAAGACAGTTCTATATTTCTCATTCTATTGGGTTGATTGACGAAATTTAACTTGCGTTTTTCATGCCTCGAAAGCGTGACTTAGGGATTTATTATATCTTAGATTTATATACAGAGTTGATTAAACATAGATATTTTGGTGACTCAAATTGTGCCAAATTGTCAGGTTCTATAAAAATCGCGCAAGTAGTTTTTAAAATATTAGCTATTAAAGCTTTAGCTCCTGAATGTTAATTAATATATATTTATTAATATCCCTTTCTTTATTAAACTTACTTGATTCCATCTTTAATAATTCGAAATTTAAGTTCAATCCAAATAAAATTCGAAGATAATTTTTGATTTACTTTTTAATTTATATTTTTAGTAATTTTTAAAAATTCTTCGAAAACATTTTAAAATTATAAGATATAAACGTTTTGCCATCACCTTAAAGTAGAGGTATTTTTAGGCGTACCTGCAAAAAAATAGTTTTTTTATTCAAAATTTCCCAAGATATTTTCTAAGATATACATTAATTTATATATTGGCTCGTTTTGAACTGTGGCATATTTGTTATAAGCGATTATAACACCGAATATAGTTTACGCACTTTGTTAAAATTATTCGAAAGAATGAATAAAGCACCTTTTTTCCGCTCGTTCACAATGAAATGTAAAGGAAAATAGGCTACCATAAATTAAGAATTACTCCAAGTGAATTATTTTTGGCGCAAAATAAGAAAGGTGCGCCAAGATAAATTTTTGAATTTCTTGTTATGTTTCTCGCCAGATTTTATGAAATTTAATATTTAGGCATAATTTGAGTCGTAAAATCGAAAAATGGAAAAAATAAGTATGTCATTTCAGAAAAAGTTCGATTTTGCTTCAAAATATGTGTTAGAACAATAATGTTATATACAAATCTAATATAGTAACGCAAATTAAATTTCGTCAATCGGTCCAGAAGAACAGAAGATATAGAATTTTTCGTTCCCCTTTTTTTTCTAGTGTAGAGTGTATATGCTGATAAAAGCTTTAATTTTATTGAAAGTAATGGCTAATAAAGTGCATTTCAGTTAATAACACTTACCTGTACACGATACTCCGCAACTCTGTTTGGATCCTGCTTTGCAGTACTTGTCGTTTATCTAAAGAAATAAAAGTGCAGTTTGTATATCATTTATTGCATTACACATTGGATGAATATTATTTGCTACGATGTAAATTTTCTCGTTTTATATCATGTCTTGAGAATTATCAAAGTGCTGAATAAAATCTCGCTTAACTATATAAAAATTAACATTTTGATATACGTAAAATACAGTTTTGAATAATTTTTTTTTAAATCTTTTACACCAAAGACTAGGTTTTATTTTTGCCTCTAACCATGCTTCTGCGTTATATCTGCACTTAAAATTTATCTCATTCAATAATTGTTCTTAAATAATTTGATCAAAGAAAATTCATAGTGCAAGGAATATGCGTATGTAGTATACGTATAAAGTCTGACTTGCTTTAGGGAGCATAAACTAGTTCCAAACTCCACACAGACGTAAAGCTAATTATCGCTGCGTCTGAAGTAATTAGAGACTTGAAAAGGTTTAAACAGCCTTTTTATTAAAACAGATTTTTGGCTATAAACGCACTTCTTGTGCTAACAGAATCAACCACTACTTTTGTGGCGATGTAACTAAACAGTAAAACGTAGACTAATATTCAAGGACTACACAACTAATTTGAAATCTAACTTCATTCAAAATTTGTAACCGGCGTATCAAATTTTAAATGTCAGTAGTAGTAACGCAAAACCGAATAATTACAAACTTATCAGAGCTCTCAGAAACTTAAGGCAGCGGGAGGCAGAAACACGTTTTAATTCACAACCCAAAAATAAAATAATAAATAATACCCTGTAACTCAGTTTACGGCTTAAATACTCTGTAACTCAGTTTACATTATGGTGAAGAAACGAAAAGAAGAAGCTATAGTAAAGGCTGAAATTATAAATAACTGGCTAGTTTAAATAATAAATCTTACGTACTATATGCGACTTCAAACTCTCATGTGGTCACTCACTCCCCCACAGTAATTTTTATTGAAAACGTTAAGCGTTATGAACGGTCTTCCTTGATAGTTGAGATAAAAGTAAAAAGAAAGTTTTCATACGCAACAACAGCAGCTAAACATCAGCAATTAAACAAGAGAGTTTTTATCTGCTGGTTTCACGTATGCCTAAAACCCTTGTGTTAAACTAGGTGTACGCTTAAGCGCTGGCACATTCTTTACTATGCTATTAAGAGTTTTAAAGAATGTACAAACATTTCAAATTTGATATTAAACAGAACGGAGAACTGAAATGCAACTTCCTGTGAATAAAACTGTAATGAAACGATATCTTTTTTACTATCAGCTGAGTTCATCTGTGTATTTATATAGATTTTAAAATGCGTGTATTCTAAATTTGTACATACAGAGTTATCAGGGGGAAAAAATCATCCTATTACAAAATTTAATGTTTTCCTTAATTACAAACAGAAAATTATAATTAATATGTCATTATAAAGCGAAAATGTAAAAGTTTTAGTTTGTTAAATTGTCTTTTGGCAATAGGTGGCAGCACTAACGTCATTATGCTGTTTATGAACTGATTCTTATATATACTTGCCAAGAGGTCTTTGCATCATAAGTGGATAGCTTTAGAGAAGGTCGAGAAGGCATGAGTAAAAATTTAAAATCTTTAGAATTGCTTCCTGTTGTCGCTATGCATTTCTTTAAGTTGTCAACTTCTTTGGCGACAGAAGAAACTCTGTAATAGATTTTTTTGTTCGGCAATAGAAACTATCTTTTCGATTTGTTGTTTGATAGAAAAAAATTCTTTCTCCAATTTGTTGTTCGACAGCAGTAACTCTTTCTCCGACTTCCGTAGCCTCGTATTTGTTTACTATTATGCAGGTAATTTCTCTTTTAATTTTCCCTTGCAGTCTTCCTTGTACAGCTTTAATCTCTTCTTTAACGGATTTTTGGGTCGCCTGCACCTCTATTTTAACGGAGTTGACAGTCCCTTCCATCTTTTCTTGTAATGCATCAAAGGGCAGCCATGAGCCGTCTTAGTTACTCCTCCATCGCTTTTATTACCTGCATTCGACCCCACGTCTCACACCAAAAATTGCTGCGAGCTTACGGGTTTGTGAGTGGAAATGGCGTCTATAGTCGTAAATGGAGAAGGCCTTCTGTGGGCTCTCTTTTGCAAGAAGTCAGTCAGTAATCATTGTTTAGGGCGAATTTAGGTTCAGCATTTTCCTCAGTTGATACAAAATTTCATTTTTCAATAAAATGTTGTGCCATCTCATTGGCATTTTAAGATTCGTAAATTTCTATCAGAGAACTACCACACCATTGTATTGGTGGCAGTGCAGCCGGTCCTACACAGCTACCCTCCTAGGTCGCCTAATTTAACCCCATATGACTTCTTCCTTTTTAAGATAGGTCAAAGATCTTGTGTTCATACCACCTTTGCGTACATTTCTGCCTGAACTTAAACAACAACGCATTTGTGATGCTTTGCAAACAGTTAATAGAGAAATATTACAACGTGTTTGGCAAAAAAAAAAAAAAAAAAAAAAAAAAAAAGTGATAGCTAACACTTCAGAAAAAATTAATAATTTTCTTTACAATGACATATTATTTACAATTTTCTGTTTGTAATCATGGAAAATATAAAATTTTGCAATCGGATGATTCTTTCATGATAATCCTGTATTTTATTGCATTAAAATATACTGCTCATGCAGAGCTAAAAATTATTTTTTTTTGTTATATGTACATATGTTTTAATATTTCCTGAATTCATATTCATGTCTGTAAACAACTAATAAATAAAAGTATTGAATGAGCATGTATGCATCTATAATTTGATAGGGAGAACATTTGGAATATTTGTGTTCATTCATTGATTGCTTAATTAATTGATTGCTTAATCGTCACACATTTTTCACGAAATTCTTTAAAAATCATCGAATTTTTTATTTTATTATTCATAAAATTCCGAATGAATTGGTATTATTAGCAGCATATATTTGTGAAATTTAATTTTTAGCGACATAAAATTATCAAACAACTTATTGCATTTTTCTGTTACTTACTTCATTTCTTGCTTCCTGCACACAATAACATACGTTTGGCAGGAAAGTTTATTGCATGCATTTACATTATAAAAGTATATAAATGTATGATATAAATAGTTTACATCACTAATTTATGGGATTATAATTTTATTCATTACGTACTGTTTTATCGGAAACTGCATTTTCAAAACATAATAATTCTTATGCACGATAAATTTAGAAGCAAGGTATGCATACTGCAGTATCGGAATCTTATCAAAGAAACGCGCATCAGAAAAATTACTCACATCACAACTACAGCATATTCTTCAACGCTTAGTCATCTTTTTCAATAAATGTGTTGCTTTATTTTACGAAAGTATGCGATGGAAGTAAAGCTCAAAAAGCATGTAAAAATGAATATTTTATCTTGTACAATGTTTAAGAACAAGTAATTGTTAGCATAAAATAAAATTCACAGTACTTGTGCAATTATTTATTTACTTATTTACAAACGTCTGATTTTCGGTACTTAAGCCGTTACCCATCTTTCTTCTTAGTACTTCCTTAAGACGCATTTAAACTATTAAGCCAGTGGTGTTTTTTTTTTTTTTTTTTTTTTTTTGTTGTTGTCCATAGCTTTTCCAAAGTCACAAAAGAGTCACTTGGAAATTCCCGATGTAAAAGAGATGTTTCTAATGTAAAATTCCTAATGTAAAAGAGATGACCATTGAGGAAATTAACTTCAATCAAAATATTACATGATTTAACAGTTCTAGCACAAGCAGAATCAGGGATATTACATCTCTTGCACAGATATTGCTAAACTTTTCCCTTAACTTTTACGCCTAAATTTGATTCATGAATCTTGCTAAATTCCGTATTTATATTTTATTCAAAATTTCTGAGTTTCTGGAGTGCAGTCTTCCTTTCTTTGACAGGAAATCTGCACACGTATTTCTTTTTACTCCGAATAAGCTGATATCCTTTGCACGGCTTTCGAATCTTTAAGCATGTTCAAAAGATATCGGCATTCATAAATACGGTTTGTGTTGCAAGTTCTGTTGTTCGCAAGAGCCTGAAATACAGACCTACTAGAATCCGAATTCTAGTACAGACCTACTAGAGAATGATGGCTTTACAGTAAGAAGACCTACAACGGCAAAGCTGCCGCAAGGCCCTGTGAATTACTTCCAGTTCAGATCAACAATTTATATTAACGCTGACTGCTTTATAAAAGAAAAATGTTCTACTGTCTTTGCCAACTCATGCTGCTTATGTACCTGCCTTTCATTGAATACCACCTTTTGATCATATTATACTATTTTTTGATCAGTTCTGCTTTTAAAATAATTACAAGTGCTACGAAAGTGAATAACTGAATAGTTTTTGCTGATTTTTTTTATTGAGCAGTTGCACCTAGAAGACGCCTGAATGCAACAGTTTGAAATTATCACTTATGTGAGTGTCGTAGTAAAATCCATGAGCAGTAATTCAAATGAGTTTTACTTCTGTTTCTCAAATTGAAGTATTAAATTAATTAATTAGACTGCGTTGATAACCTTATATTTTATATGATGAATTGTGAATCCTGTGTTTAGAGTGGGAGGTGACACGCTACCAAAATTAAGGTAAGCATTTTCAGAATTTTTGACTCGTCGCATTGAGACTATATACTTGCTATTACAACTAGAAGGCAATAATTTTATCAGTACTCATATTTAGATAGGGATATGTAGTGCGATCTGGCAAGTTCTTTTATTGTTTAACACACCCTGGAATACACTAGACCTTGATTTATCAACACTATATAAAAAACGCGTGTCAGAAACAAGCCAGAAGGCTGCTGCCAGTGATAAGATAATTCTCGATCTTAACAATCTGAAAGGAAAAAAATGCAGTAATCAGCAAAAATAAGGGAATTATAATAAAGCTTCGTATTTAACAGCTGGAAAATCTATTTTTTTCGTTTTTGCAAAAAACGTCCTGCAAAAGAAGAAAAACAAGGAGGTTCTGCTAGTTCCGTGGCGCATAATATATTTTTAATATTTTCGAAATAACAGTATTTGGACTATTTCTCAATACAGTGAAGTTATCTGTTTTAAAATTAAACTGATCTTAGAAGTATTTTGACATTTTTCGGTGACAAGATTTTATTAACATTTATATGATTAGAGTAATCAATAATCAGCTAGTGTCAGTGCTAAGGTTTTCCTCTTTACAAATATTTTGTTTACATAAAAAAAGAAACTTCCGCCATTTCATTTCATTCCTCCATCTGTTATAAAATTACAAGCATTCTCCAGAAGTTTAACATTCAAATTATTTTCTAATCTCTATCAACAGAATTTATTGTTTGATTCTTAAAGATTCCCTCTCTTACTTTAATTCTTAGGAAATTTATTGCCTTTCTTGTCAGTGTCGTTTGAGATATACCGGCCAAACTAAAACAGTGTTAAAAATTCGCGTCAAAGAACACAAATCCTATTTCCGAAAAGGAGAAAAAAACAAATCTTCAATAGCAAGCCATAGTTGGAATTTTAAGGACAATTTTGACTTTATTTCTGCTAAAATTATTCATAAAGCTTTTTCAATTGGTAACCTAAATTATCCTGCTGAATGCCAGAAAAAATACCAAACATCAAAGCATCCAAATGTTAAGTACATGTACTTCATTCCGCCTTTTGGCGAAGTGTTATTTGGTTGCATATTATACTGCCAAACGCCTTAGGGCACAAATTTTCATGATAAATGGTAAAGGCGGAGATTCTTAAGGCCATTAGTACCGTCAAGTTCCAAGTTCCATTTTGGAAAATCTTTTATGCTTCTTAAGAAAGATCTGTGACCTATATCTATCTCCTCAAAATTGTTGGAGTTTTGTTCAAAATCTACACCAATATAAGAACCTTTTTGCCTAATTTTTAATCTGACACTGGCTTGTTTCTTATCCAGTTTGAGCTTAATATGTTGAAATCATTCTACATTAAAAAGGATTAAATGTTCTAAATACCCAATTTTTTTTAGATAAAATTATCTAAATACGTTTTATTTAACTTCAAAAGCTACAAAATAAATGAAATTAGCTTTTTTTAAGGTTTGATTGCATTTGTAAAGCAGTTCAGGTTTCAGAAAGGCATTTAAAATAAAAAAAAATTAAATTCTGTTCTGGTTAATATAGCATCTATTGTTTTAAACGACTCATATTGCAGCAATGATAAACTATGCACTGTCATATTTCCGAATGTTTAATGAAAAATATCAAAGCTCTCAAGCTGAAGTTATTTTGTATTCTCCCATACAAAGTTATTCGAAAGTACCATTACTTTTTTAAGATATTCAACTCATTTATCATAATCATCTTTCTGTCATTTAATGCGAATTAAATTTAGAAGAGTTTCTTCTTTCCAACTGTTATTAGTGTAAAGTAAGTTCGAGATTATTTGCATTTAATTTATGCGTTCGTAATAATGATGACAAAATAAAAATATAAAAGTTTATAAGTATATTGTAAATTTTAAGTAAATTCAAAGTGGTATATTATAAAGTTTAACTAAAATTTAGAAGTAAATCTTGCCTGGAATATTCCAAAATCGTAGCTTCCATCACTAAGAGGTCCATTCAAGGCTTGAGTATTGAAACCACTAGCGAATTTTGCAAGGCAAACCCCTGGGAAAAAAAAAAAAAAAAAAAAAAAAAAAAAAAAAAAAAACCAGACAAACCATCATACGTAACTATTTATTAACATAAAACGGAAATTCAAAATTCAGTAATAATAAATATTTGCATCTTTTAATACGTTTGTAATTAGCAGGCGCATTACTTATACTGTTATGGGATATGTAATACTTATATTAACGGGTACAGTGGTTAGATTCGCTCGCTGACCGTCGTTGACTGTCGTGCCGAAAAGCAGGACAGTCAGCGACGGTCTTCTCCGGGTTCGAATCCCGGAGAAGGCATGGATGTTTGAAAATGTATACGGTACGCGCGGCATGGGGCACTGTAAATATGCGGTGAGCCGAAAGTCCTCTCGAGAGGTTGTAGTAAGGGAAGAGCTTGGAACCGTCCCTCACCCCCCCGCGCCGGATACTCCTCATCAAAAGTGGCGCCGGAACTGAACTATATCTCACTCTCACATGTAAGGTGCTCAAGGCTGTTGCCAACGGTAGGCGTAAACTTGTGCTCTTTGCCACAACGAATATCGTGGGCTTGGGCTGACAATAGGTCACACAAGTGAGCATTAGTAACAACAAGATGTCTATTTGAAAATTCTGACGATTTATTAAACTAAGGTGCTGTCTATTTAAGGGAATAAAATACTTCTCACGAAGAAATATGCAATATAGTTCACAATATTGTTCATTATTACTTTATTTGATATTTATAATGTAACTTATTTATTAAAGTGGCAGCATTAAAAAAAAAAAAAAAAAAAAAAAAAAAAAAAAAAAAAAAAAAAAAAAAAAAAAAAAAGACTGCTTTCGTATTACAATGATTTGAAGTTTTCTGTAATACTTTGGTTGTTAACTGTCCGGTAAATGGAGGACGCCTGTTCCTGAATAATTTACTTTATTCAAAAATCATTATAAAGCATCCAATATTATTTTTATTAATCATTCTAGTTAGGTGCCTTTTAGTAAGCTATTAATGATAAAATGTTCTTTAAGAGACCATTTGTGAATGGGCGATCTCATTTGTCTGGCTTCATCATCAGAACAAACCTACGAAATTCATCGTGACAAGGAGTACAAGACTGCACCTGTCGTTGGTAAGAAACTTAGGCCCCATTAGACGGCAAGAGGAGTTTGCCCAGTTCCACCGCAATTTTGAGGAACAGCACCCCGGAGGTGAGTCCTAGGGCTTCCCACCTCTCTCCCCCTACAACTAAACCACATGAGAGAACTTTCGGCTAGCGATTTATTTAGAGGCCCTTCTTCCGCAAAGACACTTTACATTTACAAACATCCATGCCTTTTCCGGAATTCGAACCCGAGCCCTTCGGTTCGGTAGTCAGAGTCACTAACCACTCTCCCGATTGGGAAGCTCAGAGACAATTTGAAAACACTTTAAGAATTTCACTGTTTCGAAATTATAAAAGATATTGATGATATTTTATAACTTTCATTCTTGAATATTAAACTGATTTTATGCATCATAACATATTTTTACAAGAAGAGTTACGTATTGGAATGATATAGTTTTGTTTTTCTGAATTTCATATTCATTTAAAAAAATAAATTAAAGATCTTTTTCTTTCACTGCTGAAAATGCTGAATTGATTTTAAAATGACAATTGGCATACAGAAATCGTTAAAAATTTGCGCTGCCCAAAGAAATTAACTTCAAAAAAGGGGGCGGAGTTTAATTGTTCCGCTGTACAATGTTTTAATACAGCAAAACAATTATACAGAATTTGTACAAGGAAACAAACAGGAATTTTTATACAAGAAAACAATTTTTCCTGTACAATTTTTAGTACAAGAGACAACTAACTACGTTTAGCAGCTTACATAACGTAAAGACACTTACAGCTTGCCGCTTTCGTTTTCTTTTGGCCCAACTGGATCATCGCTGAAGCTACGTCGCATGGTTTCAAAATTTTTGCTTCCAGAACAGCCACCTGCAAACATAGGAACAGTAACAGTAAAGGCACAAAGGAAGCCATTTTTTGGTGTGCTCTCCAGATCTCTTAACTTTCATATGTATTAAGTCCTTTTTATGAGTTTAATTTATCTTATCTCCTTTTATGCTGTGCTATTGTCATGAGAGTGCAACATCTGAAATCACAGACCTTGAGAAAGGTAAAGATTTGATCTAATGAACTGGCGTCGTGTTTAATGTGTCAGCTGATTATGAGAATTATCACATTTTCATAATATTATTGGTACAAGTTGTGCAAACATAGTTTTGACGGGTGTTGAGTACTTACGGTTTATTCACATTTAAATGAAAGCAAAAATGAACGGAAGTTGTTTTATCGAAGCATCTGTATCGCTGAATGACACGTTACTGTATTGCTTCTGTTGCGGTTAAGCGAGATTGTATCTTTTTACTTTAAATATAGAAATTACTTGAAAGGTAATTAAGAAGTGCATATTAATAACAACTCCCGATTTTTAATAGATTTTTCTTTCGCGACTGAAGATGAAATAGATATTGAAGAAAGAAGTATTAGTAATATGAAGTAAATTATAAACGATCGGGTTTGAGCTCAGCAATTGGATTTAGACATGAGAATGATAGCTCTGATTCGTAAAATGGTTAGCGTTGCTGACTGCCGTGTTTTAAATTCCGGGTTCGACTCCCGGACGCTTGTGAATGTTAAAGGTTAAAGTCTTTGGGGGGTGGGAGCGTTTAAAACATACGGGCAACCTCTCGAATGATCTAGTAGTAGGAAAAGAGCGGTAGGATATCCTTAGACCTCTTCCCCGAGAAAAATCTTCTTCGAAATTGTTACTGAACTGGACAAAGGCTTACTGTCCCCTTTAAGGTGATCAAGGCTTATGTTAACGACAGACGCAATCCTGCTTCAGTCCATGCCTGGACTGTTTAGGATGTTACTGTCAGAAAAGTGAGATTAAATCGCAACACAACAGAAATTCTGAATTCTTTCAGCAAATTGTATATTTAAAGTTATTATTTGCACGTTTACCTCGTCTCAAAGTATGAGATGTGAAAATAGATAATCCATAACACAACAAAGAATTCTTAGTGTCTTTACGCAGCTCCAATGCCCAAGTCGTTAAGATGATTGAATAATGGAGATTTCATTCGGGTTTGATCCCGGATACGAACGAGTTGGCTTTATGGTTTGTTTTCTGGGTTTTTCCCATGTGTATCGTGAATACAAGACAGTTTCGCTTAAAACGTCCTCCACGAAGGCATCCCTCACGTTAAGTACTTAGCCCTAGTATAGTTCACCGTATTTTAATAACTTAACCAGGGTGGATAGGACTATTGGATATTCGGGAAAGTTTCTGAAGCGCCGGTGATCATATAGGTCTTCCTCGTTACCTGATATCGATTCTGTAAAAACAGATGAAACTTATTAATCATAATTGCAGAATTATGTTACTAAAAAGGCAAAAAATTAAAAAAAAAAATCTGAAAGTGTTCAGATTTTAACGGGAACCCAAAAACGCTCTTTCAAAGATTAATATCAGTAGACAGATCTGGGATGAGGCAAGTGAAGCACTTACCTCAGGTAAACATTAGAAGTGTCAAATTAGCCACGGAAATTTAAAACTTAATTTTAAAAAAGAAATTATGACTGTTAACTTTCAACTCTAGAATCGAAAGACATTGGTTATTGAAACATTTGACATCAAGCGATAAATTTAAAACTTAATTTTAAAAAAGAAATTATAACTGTTAACTTTCAACTCTAGAATCGAAAGACATTGGTTATTGAAACATTTGACATCAAGCGATAAATTGTTGCATTGGATGGAAAATGGTAGCGTTTTGAGGGAAATAAATTTTTAAAATGCGATATATATTAACTGTACGTAGTTTAATACTGAAAAAACAGAATAAAAACCTTTCAATCAGAAAACATATCAGTCGATAAAGCTGCATAGAGAGGTTATGTGTCTCTTTACAGTAAACGAGAGCAAATATTTAAGGAAATATTCTTGAAAATATAAAAATTTTGGTTTGGGAATAGCATTTGAACAGAAACAAAAAAGGGAATTGCTAAACCAAATTAACAAGACTCAATTGATAAAAATAAGGATATTTCAGAAAAATAATTTTTTCATAGTAGAAATTAAAGAAATGTCAAATATTGTAATTTCGTTGTTGAATGTTAGATGTTTGAAATGGAGATGACGCGGCAGATGTTTGAAATTTTAGCCAGAAATATCTAGTTTTAAAAGTCTCTTTCAATAATGTCAGACACAACAGCATCTAAAAGCTTAGATTTTAAAATTATAATTCATAAATATAATTTAGTTAAATCGGATCCAGATTTGGAAAAAATTGGTTAAGAAATCTTGTAAGGATCTTAAGTTTTACTAACGTTTATTTTATTTTAAATCTTTGCTATCACTTCTTATTTTCTACTTCCGGCCAGAATTATAAGCGTGAAGGATTTTATGCAAAGTTTGTCTGGCGAACGCCAAGTATTTAAGTGTGGCCTTTTTGCCAAGCGAAAGAGAGAGAGGAAGCAGTGAGTTCGAAGCAGGCCGCTTACCTTAGAAGTTACGCAGTTGCTATTTGCCTTCCAGGCCAGAGGTTTTAATCCTCTTGATAAATTAAACGTATTGTAGTGTTCACAGTCTCTGTGCTACATACGCTTCCTGTTATTATAAGGCCAATCTTATTCTAGAGTTAAATTAGAGTTTAGTTTTATTTTGATATCTTTTACGTTAGACCCCGAGTGGAGGGTCACTGTATTCCGAAGTACGGAAGTCATTGTATATAAAGAAAAAATAAGGGTTTTGTATACCCTTCGTCTGTATCCTGTCTCCTTACTACAATTAGTGAACATAGCTTTAGTAAGCTCTCTGTTCCTAGTCAGGTCCTTGTATGTTTCCGAAGAAGGTTAGAAGAAACATTGAACCTGATAATCTGAATGTTTTAAACGTTGCAATTTACTATTGCTACTGGCTAAAAAAAGCTTCACCAAATTTAAAATATTACAAAATTATGTCTTCACTTGGATGAAAAAATTTCAAATATGACCAAAACCTGAATTAAGTGAACAACTAGGTTTTGAAAAATTATTAAGAGCATCTGGGATGGGGTATGCATGTAACCTCGTATCCAGCATTCCGAAAGGCCAGTAAGAATAGAGGTATTTTCTATTTCCTCTCGTGTTGGTTTCTGAAAACCACCAGCGAAAGGTTATTAAGGATGGTTCTATGTCTCAGCCATACCGTTTGACTGTGGATGTAAAAGTGACGCTTGGGTTTTGTTTAAGCCCATTAGTTTATATAGCTCTTAATTCTTTAATTAGAGCGGAGATAAAATTCTTTTCTTGATCGAAATATAACTGAAGAGACATTCCAAACCTGGAAATCCCATGCTGTATCATTATCTCTGCTACCATGATAGCCTCTTGATAAGATATAGGTGCGCTTCAGCGCACTTTGTAAAGTAATCAACGGTAAAGAGGGTGTTACCTCTGTCACCCTGATACTGTTGCCATCAGCAGATCGTGACAGAGGTCCCAATATGTCGAAGGTGATGCGTTCAAAAAGGCTCTCATAAATTGTAATACTGCAGCTTCCCCCAGCTTCGTTTCTTAGGTCCTTTCTCACCTGCACAGGCATCGCAAAATAGGCACTACTTTTCCACGTCAGCTCTTGCTTTACTCCAGTAGAAATACTCTCGAATTCTGTGCAAAGTCTTCATTACTCTGAACTGCCATCCTACCGGACTGCTGTATAGTTCTTTAAGGAAGTCTGAGACCCAAGATCTTGGAAATATTAACTTCCATCGGAATGCCTTTGCATCATCCGGTTCGAACTTCTGGTACAAGATGCCCGTTTCAAATATGGAGGGAGGGTCAGAGAGCCCAACATTATTTGTCGTTGGATTACAGATCTAAATGTCCTTCCAAGAAGAAGAATGATTTCTTATTTTAAGACTCCATTAGGTCAATTATAGGTCATCCAACTGGTCTTTCCTAATTCCATTGGTCTGTGTCAGATGGTTTTTCAGGCTGCAACTTGACATGTGCCGGATTAACCAGCTCGTATTTCACTTCGATCCTGGAATAATATCGACAGCTTTCTGGGCAGGGTCTTCTAGACAGCGCGTCGGTGTTTCCGTGTGACGACCTTTTCCTATGACGTATAGTGATGTCATATTCCTGGAGTCTCTGTATCCATCTGGCTGTATGGGCTTCAGAATTCTTGAAATTTAATAGCTGGTTCTGCGATGCATGATCTGTGTGGAGCAGGAATTTTCTGCCATAAAAGTATGATGGAAATTTTCTACGGCTGTAACAATGAAGGGCAACTCTTTTCTGGTGCCACAGTTTTCTGGTTCGCTCATACAAAAGTTTTAGTAGAATTGTAAATTCTGCGTAAGAGTGATCAAATGCTCACATAGAGTTTTAGAATACTTGTATATTTCCTTTCCTGGAACAACCATTTATAGAGAATTGCAATATAATTAGTTTTGTATAATTATCGTTCAAATTTTGCAGAATGGATGACTTTCACTATTTCTCTCACCGGAAATTTACACCTTATGTGTTATTCATTTCAAAATAAGCTTAGAATTTGTTGAATATTTGTGAATCTTACTAAATACCTTACTCTCTTAGATCTGAAGAACTTTTTTTACTTCATGTCTATATATCCTGCGCTTACTCCAATCGTCTTCTAATTACTGATAGGAGAAATTACAGTTATGTGAAAATTTGGGAATACTGAAGTTCATATGAATGTTAAATGGTGACAAGTCCTGCATAATGTTGTATATTGAATAATACTCTGAATAATAAAATAAATACTTATGTTTCCAAACACAATAAATCTATCACAGAATCCAACACAAAGTATCGGTATATGTAGACTACCCGACATTGAACATGCAATACCAAGAAGGAGTGGCCCTAAAATTATGCAAATTTCAAGATAGACGCACGTCACCAAGTTACGCGAATTGTGTTAAATGCAAAGCTCTCCAGCACACGTTGAAGAAGATATAAGGGAAGGAACCTTCAGAATGTTCAATTTTCATGCCGTTAT